CAATATGGTATGAAACATAATTAGAAATACAAAAGTATTTCACATCCACCTGTTTAGTTTGGAATACATTTCTAATTCTTTCCCGGACTCATTACATTTAGCCATTTTCTAACTGCTTTATCTGATTCAGGCTCTCGGGGAAGTTGGAGTCTATCTTAGCAAGTAATGGGAAGGCAAGCACATAGACATACACACACTGACACTGGGGCTAACTTCCCTGGAAGCCTGATAGCCTTTGGACATAGATAGACTATGTACTAAACTATAAGTTTAGAGAGTTTTATATTCTTAGCTGTTATAGAAAAAGGTTGGCTGAATAGTTTGTGAATCAGTGGGAAAATAGTCCTGAACACACAATTGGGGTTAATTAAACCCAGATGGAAGAAGAGCTGTATTGAAAAAATGAATCCACAGGTCTTCTCCAGTTACCTTAATATAATTAGAATTATATATACAAATGCAGATTTTTGCATATTTATCTCCTTATACACTGTTCCCTTGCTCAGGTTGTGTAACAGAATGCTGCACTCTGTGCGAATGAGGATTGCTGGGATGAAAGATGCTCATGGGAAAATGTTAGCAAAATAACTATTTCAGAGTATTTTATTTGGAGGCGATCAACACAATGCCTTCAGAATGTGTATACCTCTTTGAACAATTGCAAATATTGTCGTGTTAATGATTTTTCCCTTGATTAACACGACATAAGCGACAAATCGCAGGGGCAAAAACCTTTTTACTGTGTGACAAGAACAAGAAATATTCTCCCAAGGACACAATTTCCTCACCATGGTCTACATGCAACATGAGATGCACATAGGCTCAATCTAGAGTGACATAACAAAGGAGTTGAATATTTATCACATCAAGCCATTTCATTGTTTTCTTGAAAAGGTACGGGAAAAAAAAACATAATTGGCATTACACTTTCGTATCATAAAGTCATTTGTGTGGAGCAGTGACAAAAAATGACATATTAATTTTTTTTTATTTAAGTTTGCAACACAAGGAAAGTTGAGGAAAAAATACACAGGGGTGAATCGTTTCTGAAGACACTGTACACTTCACGTGAATGTGTCTTAAATGTTTTTCAACTTCCTGGAAAAAAGGTTTGAGACACCCACCCGAGAATACCGCTGCACAATCAACAAATGCTGAATTTTTCCTGGCTTTAGGTATGAAATTCCAAGCATATATCTCCCTGGTGCCTTCCTTCCTGACAGACACACATTTCTACTGTATAGGTGAGTTATCATTGCATTCCATCTGATTTCAGAATAAAGCTCTTTGTCAAAGCAAGAGTTGGGGGGCTCCAATTTAGATTGTAATATGATGTAATCTATGAATGCACAGTATCACCAGACAGTTTGGTGCAGAATTTCTGAAGACTGTACATCATATACTGTATATTATCCATCTCCTACAGAGATCATGAACATTTTATTTCTTTACCCAACTGCTTCATAGCACATTTAACGGCTCGCATAAAAAAACAGGTGTTGGTAAATTCTACTCGTTTGTAACATACCCTTAACAATTTCTGGTTCCGCGCTATTCAAGGACATCAGAAAAGTAGATCAAAGTTACGTCCGGTTATGAATGCTTGGAACAACTTGGCAAAAACAAAGTATTTTTAAAGGAAATTGAATGCTGCTTCTCCTACGAGCAGAAACTTTGAAATCAATGGCGCTTGTATGGAAACGGATGAGTGTACTTAGAAGTTTCCTTTGTTTCACAAATCGGAGCATGTCTGTTTACAATGCTAAAGTGTAGAAATGCCCTTTTCAGTTTCCAGTGTAGGGAACTGCAGGTGAATGAGTGCTTATGCTGTAAAATCTGTTGAAGAGTGTAACAGCCCCAGGACTTTCAAGACGTTCCTTTTGTTTTCTGTGTCCCTTTCTGACAGCGAGTAATAAATCATGAAATAACAACATAACCCAGCACCTGTGGTAATAGACCATAACAAACAGTCATTTAGAGCAGAGAAGTCTTTCAAGATTTCATGTGTTACTCTGGAGTATCTTCTGCCCACTAGAAACTCTGGAAAAAACTGGCTCTGGCACATCATTTCCCTAGAAAACTTCCCTAGGAACTTGTTTGTAATAAACAACAACAGAATGGAAAACAAAAACAATGCCGTGAAGAGCCCTACATGTCACCTCCTTCTGAGCTCCATGACGTGTTGCAGCGTGCTAAATATACTTTTCTGCAATGTGAAACTGTAATTTGAAGAAGCCTCACACTTGTCATGAAGAAATCCCGAGGGCGTGCTGCTTTGACACTTGATAGGGCGTGCTAATTTTTTTCAACTTTAAGTAAAGGAAGAAAACTGAATTGAAAAAAATGTGTCAAGCCCTGCACCGATTATCGAGATTAGAGTGTGACATCAAGAAATACACTAATAAAACATATACTGAGTACTTAAAATGCGTGCAATGGGAAGGTTAAAAAACAGAACAGCTTGTTAAGAACATTTCTATACCTCATTGCTTATTTCCACTCTCAGTTGGCATTACCTCCCATATTCAGCTCTAATATCTCTCCTCTTCTGCATACAGTATAGATGACTTTGGACCTGCCCAAATGGACCAATAAGATTATATGACCCCACGTCTCAAACCTGACTTAACTAAAAAATGATCTGCTCAATGAACGCTCTGTTGTCTAAGAACAAATAGGGGCCAAAAGATAACTGATAATCCAAGATAACAAAATGGAATCGGTTGTTACTATAAGCGGATCATGTAATTAAGGAAGCCTAGAGTAAGCCCTGTTAAACAATTCAATGTGTGTATTTCAGTAGTATTGCTATTAGTAATGCTAAGAACACAAGCAAACTGGTGTTGAGACATGTTGGAAGAGACAAGCACGCCCCCTCATTCAGCCAGACCAGGAGCAAGCACTGAGAGAAAAAGAGCTGTTTCACTGCCACTCCTCTGTTTGGTGAAACTGGAGAGAAAGTGGAGGTTGAGGAGGAGGAAACAGATGGAAAAGTGTAGCAAGAGCCATGCAGATATGGTTTCGATGGTGTCCATGAACTGGATTAACTATAAGAGCATGGAGTTCCCTGCCTAGCTTGACTTCCTTGTTAAGAACAATGGGACAATTGCCAAGCTATGTTTGACATTGAATGTGGCTAGTAGTGACCAGCTGTTGTCATTGATGATGCTGACTGCGAGTTACTGATGCATAATATCACCTGTAACTGAGTCTGGGGTATTAACTTCTGAGTCATGTCTTTGCTTGTCCATATACTGTACAGTGTAATCTATACAAAAGGGTTACATTTTGAAAGATACTTTCTCTGAATTAAAAATCATATTACTTCCTCTTATTCTGCGATGAATGAATTGCTATCTTTCAATGGATTCACACCCATGTTTCTGGGGTGTTCTGTGTTGTAAAAGAAGCCGGAAGTCTATAAAAGTAAAAAAAAAAAACTCTATGAAAAACCAGCCAAAATTTAATTAAAAAAAGCTCCGTTGTTATTTACAGTATCTGACAAAACACCCATGAAATACTGTATTCCCCTGGAAATCAGTGCAGTGAAATTTAAACAATGAAAACAACAGTGGATGTAGGTGAGATGGGTGTTTTTGTGCATTTTGATCAAGAAATTAATTTTGTAGCACTTTTGTCAGGACTGTCCCAGGCATGAGAATCAGGAGCCACACATTACTTGAAAGAACTTCATTTGCATTTATTCTTTCCACGTATTCAATAATCACGTTAATGAACGTAGTAATCTGTCCCTTTGATGAAACATACAGTAAGACAAACATTCTAATGAAAGTATAAGCATATTGCACTTTGCTGCATGAAATCATATCACATCAGTACCTGGTGCTAAATGAAGGATTTGCAAGGTGGTTTTGAAGAAAGACACAGGGGCTCTTACCAGTAGCTTTGCTAGTCTTTTTTTAAACTTGTACATTGTCTTTCATCACATTGAACCTGAGGTGATTACCATAACAGAACAGGCTCCTTCATTTTTCCATTATGCTCAGAGTGCTCCAAGCTAAACAAAACCCATTGAGTAAACTATGATTATTAAATTAAGACTGACTAGATCAAATATAAAAATGCAGTCACTGCGATGACTCCCAAGACACTGACATTTGTAAGTACTCCTACTTGTTTGTGATTACTAAATGAATTCTATGTTTCTTGTATAATCTTGTTACTTATAATAATAACATACATCAGGTGGGTAGCTGCGTCAGCATGCGTAGGCTGCAAAGGAACAAGTAATAGGTTTATTCCATGCTGAAAAAAAGAAGAAAGAGAACACTTATGTACCTACATCTGTGTGTATGTACATAAAATAATGTTAACAGTGTTTGATTTTTTCCATTTTATATAACTGTTCAGAATAATAGTAATAATTCCTTACACTTATATAGCGCTTTTCTGGACACTCCAATCAAAAGTGCTTTTACAGGTAATAGGGACTCCACTCCACCACCAGTGAGTAGTCCCCACCTGGAGGATGCGATGGCAGCCAGTACTCTCTCCACACACCAGCTCTCAGTGAGGAGGAGAACAGAGATGAAGCCAGTTCAGAGATGGGGATTATTAGGAGGCAATGATTGGTAAAGGCCAGTGGGAACTTTGGCCAGGACGCCAGGGTTACACCCCTACTCTTTTCAAGAAACGCCCTGAGATTTTTAGTGACCACAGAGAGTCAGTTTATGGTTTTACTTCTTATCCGAAGGACGGTGCCTTTTTACAGTATAGTGTCCCCATCATTATACTAGGGCATTAGGACCCACACAGACCGCAGGGTGAGCGCCCCCTCGGGCCCCACTAACACATCTTCCAGCAGCAGCCTTAGCTTTCCCAGGTGGTCTCCCATCCAGGTACTGACCGTGCTCACACCTGCTGAGCTTCATTGGGTCATCAGTTGTAAATTGCAGGGTGATATGCTGCCACATCTTCATGAAAGAATAAAAAAACGTAGCTCTTCTCGTGCACATTGCTGGCTGAATGGGAACAATTGCATAGGTTTATTTTAAGAGATTTTTTTCACTTTTCACAAAACAGTTTGTGCCCACAAATGTGTTAAGTACCTTTGCCACCATTTTATAACACTCTGCAGTCAAAGACGGCCCAGACCTTAAAGAGTTTTAAATTCGAATGATTTTCCACACTGGTTAAACAACAAATTAAACTAAGAGCTATGTGGTTATTCAACATACAGTTTTACATACAAATTTGAATGAGGTACATCGATGTCTGCATTTCCAATTAAATAGCAGCTAGAAAGAAACAATATGTGGAAAAACATGATGTTTTTCTTCACAAAATTCTGCCAAATATTCAAAGTGCAAGGGGAATACATCCGAAATTCAAAGGGAAAACAGGCGAAGGAAATTCAAAGTACGTCCAACGATAAGAATTTCTTACTTTTAAAAAGTGAAACACAAAAACAAACGAGAAAGGAACTGAGAACTGTTTGTGGTAGCAGAGATGAGTCAGTTCTGACTCTGAGGGCTGAAAGGAGTCTTGTGGCCTTGGAAATTTCATGGGGTAGCTGAGGTGCCACATTATTCTTCATCTGCGCCTTGCAGTTGAAACACTCCAAAGAAAGTTTCAGCTTCTTCTTTGGACACTGACACTGTGTCCAACTTGTAGCCTTGGAGCTCCACATAAAGCTTGTCCTCAGCAAGGAGCTCAAAGATCCCTGCCTGGAAAATGGAATCCCCTCTGTCCGAGCCGGATCTGGCTTTCATGAGCGTCACGGTATCTCTGTAGCTCTTGCTGTCCTTTCTGATGCACACCTGGACAGAGCTGGAGCTGTTTTTGATCGTGACCTGGCTGTATACAAAGTAAATACCATCTTGAGGGACTGTCAGGTTCGTCTTGTCTGGACGGTTGTTCCCATCAGCCATAAGCTTTGTGCTGAAGGCCAAGCCAACTGATTGCTCAAAGGTTAGGACTCCCCCAGTGTACCCCATGGCTGAAACAAAACAGGATAATCTTAGTCCAGCACCTTAGCGAGTTGGCATTCATGTAGCTCCCTAGATTAATGTAATCTGATGTACAAGTGAATAAATGCAAGTTGTGCAGCAGACATTTCACCGCAGGAATGTTCTAATGTGATTTGCATGCAGAGTAAACAAGAACGTTGTATTTGATGGCTGAACCGTCTCAAAGTCTATGGCGATATTTCTGTTGGATTAAAAGAGATGGATTCACAAGCCTGCTTGGTTACAGTGTCATAGGGCTGCTTCACCTCACTGGACGTTTTGTTGCCTGGTTCTGAATCTCAGAATATGGCGGGGCACATACCTGGAAATGTAGTCTATTCTGTGATGTTAATTGGAGGTTGAACTTGTTACCGTGCGCAATTTATTTTCATTGTGGTTTGAAATGCACTTATCAATGCCCAAACTATAAAAAATAGCCTTGCTGTTCCTCTTTAGGCACCAATGAGAAGTCAGCATGGCCTGAAGTAAACTGAAACAGCAACGCTACACCAAAAAGGTATCCCTGAACACCTCATGTGTTGGTAGTACCAAAAACACGCAAGAGCAAGAGCACATAATCGGCCAGGAGATGCAAGGGGTTGGAAGAACTTTTACTGGCCACTGTATCTTACACTTGCTAAAAACCTCAATCCCTAGCATGATCATGATGGTGAAAGCACTAAGTTCTTACTAAATCCTTTGGTCAAGGTACTGTGTTTGACAGCTGGTTGGAGTGACCAAGTGCTTCTTCTGTTCTGCGGTTCTGTTCATGCAGCCAGCTTCAACAGGTTTGTTTGATGCAATAACAGTTAATTTCGTTGAACATTATACTGATATCACTCCCAGATTAAATAAACTTTGTGAGCTAACCCTTCAGACAAGTACAGAGCACCTGTTACACTTAAACATTGACAGAATACTTTGGTACTGATTAATCACTGTTAGGAAGACCTCTTCCACCTTTTGGTAAATAGTTCAGAATAAGAACAGAAACATTCAAGCATACGTTAAGTTACTTACAGACCTGGCAAAGCAGTATGTCTGGCAATTAATAATAATAATTAATAATTCCTTACTTATACAGGGCTATTTTGGACAATCCACTCAGAGCACTTTACAGGTAATCACACACCAGATCTCAGTGGTGAGGAAAAAAAGAGATGAAGCCAGTTCACAGATTGGTATTATTAGGAGGCCATGACTGGTAAAGTCCAGGGGGAAATCTAATTAGGACACTGGAGTAACACCCCCAAGCTTTTCGAGAAATGCCCTGGGGTTTTGAATGACCACAGAGAGTCAGGATCTCAGTTTTACATATCATCCAAAGGACAACACCTTTTTACAGTATAGTGTCCCCGTCGCTATACAGGGGCAATAGGACCCACACAGGCTGCAGGATGAGCACTCCCTGCTGGCCCCACTAACACCTCTTCCAGCAGCAACCTTAGCTTTCCCATGAGGTCTCCCGTCCAGGTACTGACCAGGCTCACACTGAGCTTCAGTGATTGCAGGGCGATAAGGCAAATGGCATAATAACCTCCGACATAAAATTGAAACGATAGTCTGTGTTCGCGTATTTCCTCTTGTTTTAATGTTCCTGTTTCCTGTTCTAATTCATATGATACTCAAGGAGAGCACTAATGGTATGAATCGTTTGAGCCAATCAATAAAAAGACCTTTTGGTCCTGCTAACTTTGCACAGTATTATTAACTATAACTATAACTATGGTACATTACCATGACTTACCATAATAAACAGCCATGACTATGCTGACAGTCTCACAGTCTTTTTAATATGTCTTCACAATTGTAATTCTTAGTATAGTCATAGTCATAGACTATAATCATGGTCATTACCTATAAGCATGGTCAGTTTACTGCAGTAAACCCTATTTCAAGCAGTGCAAAACACAAAGTATGGTTGTATTGGGAAATGTTGGATCAATGTATGATATTTTATCGTAGTGAATTATTACAAGTGTTCGTTTTTAAACACTTCACAATTAGATTACTTTAATTATTTCAGCTGCATCTATTATTCCTGATGAGGGCTGCAGCCACACTGAGCACACCATAAAAGAATGAAGAGGGGTTTCATGTGCAATTGCCTCTTGTACATGTAAACAGTAAATCAGTATTACATATCACAAAGCTGCTTTTTAAAACTTGTAATTCGATCTTTTCTTCACCCGCATTGTTCTTTTAAAAGTGATCCTGCCAACTGTGTAATCGAAGACAATGAGAAGAGAGAAAACTTTGTTAACACTGTTACTGAACTACCGAAGAAAGTGGCTTTTTACTTACCAGACGAAGCTGTAAAATGTGCAATGTACCGGTTTTGAATACCATACACAGGACCACCAGCTGCTGAAAAGAATTTTAAAATGAAGGCAGTTTTTTACAAGTGTCTGCTCCTGAGTTTCAGAGCTCTGTGCCGGACAGTATTGGAATCTCAAGAATGAGATTTTTTTTTTTCTGTTATTTAAAAGAAATCGGTTACTAATGTGTTTAGGCAATTTCATTCTCACAAAATGCAAAAATATAATTTTAATAGCCAGTGTCAAAGCTTAAAAGTGTAAACATTTTCAGCCATTAGGTTTTAGTTACACCTCGGTCCAGTATTGTTTTTATTGTCGAGATACCCTTTATAATTTCCGAATTGTAACAAAAGCACTTTTGCTAATCTGATTGAATATTATGCTCACAAGCCCCATCAGTGAGGCTCTAATCTCAGTGTTTTATCATTCTGATGCTGTGAATGCTTCATCTACACAAAGCTTCACTGCTGGCTGATGTAGGAAAAAACTTCTTACTTTTTAAAAGAAGAAACACAACCTTAGACACAAAAAGATTTAACAAACAAACAAACTGAGAGCTAACAAGTTAGTGCTGGCTTCTATACTAGAAATCGTACTAACACCTGAAATAACAAACTTATCAGTATGAACTTTCAATTGCACTCTTTTTCAATAAACAATGCAACAATGTGCATGATCCTTATCTAATCAGAAAAAAACATTAATCTGAAGGATTTGGTATTTTCTGTTACGTTTCATCATTTGTTTTCCTGTGATTATGCTATGCATGTTGTAATAAATAACATATTAACATACTGCAGTAAGCCTGTGTGAAATGTTTTCACAGGGAAAGAAGAGAAAATTAAACAGCATAACACAGGGTGCAGACTTACAGGAGGAGTTGAGCTTTGTAGCTATCAGTTCCACTTGCTTCTGAATATCCTTTAACAACAAAGTGCAGAAAATAAAAAAAATTGTGATAACGCTGGTCTATTTTTAGTACATTTTTTATTCTGTTGCTTGTTCTGTGGTAAGCCCTTTCTTCCTTATAATGTTTTCTACTTAATTGTGGACATTTTTCATCCAGCTTTTGCTTTTATATTAATACCAGCTCCAGAACTTCCAATTGTCAGAACACACAGAGCAGATAGGACGTTTGTCCAGATTTGACGTTTGTCCGTAATGTGTCAAAAAAAAAAGTCCATCACAGACCCGAGTACATAATTCAGCTTGCCCTGAGTGTTTGTTAGATAAAGCTCCAGTTTTTATCCCACAGTCCTCACACATGCTAGTAGGTTCATTGGCCTATGTGGAAATTTAATCTTGTGTGTGTTTGTGTCTGTATGTGATCTCAGAGGGACTGACGTCCCATCCAGAGTGTACCCTGCCTTGTGCTCTTGTTTTCCAGGATAGACTCCAGCTCCCCCATGCGACCCTGTACTGCATGAATCAGTTTCGATTTTCTCTTACCATCTGTTTTTTAACAAAAGCCCTTTTATACTTATTGGCACAGTTTAGCACTTAAAAAAACAACAAAAAAACAACAACAGGCAATGTGAAAAAAAAACAACAACAGGCAATGTGCAAAAAACAACAACAGGCAATGTGCAAAACAAATATAATACCATTATGGGCACTTTGACTTCCGAAGCTAGTAACTATTTTCCAATAGGTAGATTATAACAGCCATATGGTTGGTATCAGTCAGTATATTACAGTATACAGTGGGCATTTGGCTTTCTGAGCTCAGTCCGAGCAATTTTGCATAACTCCAGCTGAGTGCAAGGTTTTAACCATTTACTTGATTTGAAAGTAAAAAAAGGTGTTCAGCTCCCCCAGCCTTCAAAAAAAGAACCTACCTGCTTGTGAGCTTCTGTGTAGAGATAAATGAAGCTGCTTAGTCCTACCACTACCAACCACTGCAGAGCCACGCCCAAAAACAACACCGAGTGGCACCCCTGGGCCCTGGGTCTCTGGGTGTCCATGAGGAAAGCTTAAAATCCTTATCGTTATCTGCGCAGAGCCACACTCTACTTGGATGGAGTGTTTCCAGAATGGGAGAAGTCTTGAGACGAGGCTGTATTTGAAATGCAGCTAGGGTCAGCTGGTCTGTGACATAGTGAAAGGCCTTTTTTTGCGTGGATTGAATTCGTCCCCCGAGACAGACATTTCAGTCTGATTAAGTGATTGTGTTATCTCATCCTACTTGCCAGCATAACGTAAAGCTCCTCGGTGATAAAATCTCTCAGCCAACCCTCAGTTTCCTGCTGCTAGGCCCTCTAGCCCTGTGCACACACAGTCCGAACTACAGATGTAAAATGTCACTCGAGGTAACGATAAGCAGCACTGTCCGGTACTTTCTGGCGTTTTTTTTTTTTAGAATTTGTCTAAACCGTCGGCTCATTCCTGCTCTGCGGTCTCCACAGGACACTGAACAATGAAGTGTAACAAAAGTAATCTGCTTATGCATGAAATTAGAATTTCTTCTAGGAGTGAGGTGGTTGGGTCCTCAAAAGCCATGGAGCCCAGTTCAGCAGGCCGTAAGATAATGGATTCACCACTGTATCTCCACTCAATATAGACAGTGGGATAGTATTGGTGAAACAAGTCATCTGATTCTTGTGGACTCTCTTTTTCCCCCTTCATGTTCACTTTATCATTGGGATACAATTATGCTTAAAAATTGCTCAGTTCTGATAGAGTGATACACCTCATCCTCCTCATCTATGTTGCTGTGCACTCGAGGCATTGTTGAAGCTTCTGGAACATTCTCAGAGGATTGAAGTGTCCCTGATGTCCCTGAGGCTCAATTCAAAGGCTTAGTTTTTTTCTGGAGCCCAGTGAGAAGAATCTTTAGTGGTCTCCAGTGTGATTCCCTGCTTATGGAGAGCAAGCAACCATTGGACTTTTACTTCAGTCCGTTGGTCTGGTTAGAGAAAGGGCGACAACTCTGTTACACTGGAAAGAAATAGCATATTGATAAGCAAGGGTCTAAACGACTGAAGATGATAATGATTGAGTAACTTGCTTTAAAATTCAATTCGTTTTCAAATAATATAGCTGTCACGAAAACGTTCTTTCAGGACCCTATGCAGACGACACGATCCGGGGTAGAGTGAGGAAAACACGGGGGGAAAAGCATGCGGGAGTCGGGAATGAAAACAGGGGCCGTGTCCAGGGTGCGCTGGTGATCGGGGAAGGTGCGGCCGAGGCAAACAGTCCAGAACCGAGTCCAAGGGAGAATCCAAGAGGAGGCAAAAGTCAAAAGCCGAGCAGTCCATCCAAGACAAACGGGGTTAAAAACAAGAACCGGAACAGGAACAGGAACAGGAACAGGAACAGGAACCGGAACAGGAACAGGAACAGGAACAGGAACAGGAACAGGAACAGGAACAAAAAACTTGACGGGACCAGGCGCTTCCAGGTCCCGGACTCGCCTGGTACAGAAACCAATGCAGAGCCCGGAAGAAAGTGAGAGCCTGGCTTTTAAGGAGAACTGAACAGGGGGCTGGAACAGGGAGCAGGTGCGGTGGATGAGTAGAAAACAAGGAAGGGCTGGAGCGTCCTTAAGAGGAGGGGTTTACAAACGTGACAATAGTATGTTCACTAGAGGACACTGATAATTGAGAAAGGTTACAATTAACAAACCACAGAATTTCAAGTACTCACTATTGGCTTCTCAGGTTTTCAATCCCTGATCCCACGTGTAGCCTTATTAAGAATTATTTTACATGTTCTTCTGGGCAATAACAGAGCAGCTGTTATAACGTCCTTCTGTTTGAAAACGAGGCAAACAAATTTGAATGGAAACAAATGGAAAGAGCCCACGTGACTAAAGATTAGGGTTGTGCCACTATGATACGATTTCACATTTTCATGAGAGATTTCTGGGAGCTGAATTTAGAAATGAAATGATGGAAATGATGGAGATGGGCAAAACCTACAACTGAACAGCCTTTTGAGATATTTGAGGATAAGCAGGGCATTTTTATATGCCACCTATATTTCTGGCAAACTGCACTGATGTGATCTACGTTACAGCTGAACTCAAGTGCACTCCCTTGTGTATGTACATAGGACAAATGTGAAGAGTCAGTCGAGCAATTCTAATTGAGTTTAAAGGTAACTAATATGCTGTAATAGAATTGGTGAGGCAGGCACACAGGGGACTGCCTTTGAATATTTTTTAAACAGATGGATATAATTTTAACAAAGGGGATACAAGAAAGTTTATTATTGCTAATGAGAGTGATCTGTTTTTGCTGCTGTTTCCAACTGTGTGTGGCGTTTTCAGTCCTGCTCCTGTGCTGGGTGAATAGCAACATTTTTCTTCATTCAGATGCTGATTGCCTGTCATGTTGTATCCCACTGTACACTCAAACACTGGTCTGTGTCTTTCTGTTTTATGAATAGCAGAGATTAATTAGGTACAGCGCTGTGAAGCCCAACAGATAAGTGAAATTATTGATTTATTCTAGATAAAAATAAAAAGATGACAGCACAGGGGGAATATTGCAGGGGATTAAAATCCACTTTATGAAAAGGAATTTGCTTGATATATATTCCTTCATTATCAGGCGTATAAATTGGAATCTTGATAAGCATTCAAGCATTCACAATGAGGCGATGTCGTGAATGTTCTGTATGCCTTCTGGATAGTTACCATACAGCAGTTTACATGCCAGCTTATGCTCAATGGTGGTAGATAAAAATACAGACTAAATGCATGGTGGAGGTGGCAATGTTTTTAGAGGGTCTAAGAGATTTTATTTTAGATTCTGTACTTTAGCTCATAGTTTAGGCGCCCGGCGAGATTAAATGAAATAATTCCAATGCAGATTCTGGGTAATATCCTAACTCCTCAACTCATTCCTTTTCACAATTAAGAAGAAATTCAAAACGACGAATAATGATAAATAATGCCAG